GCCTGTACAAGTGAAGAGTACAAAAGGAAATAAGGTTATTGAAACATATGCCTTCCTGGACCCAGGGAGTACAGGTACCTTCTGCTCTGAAAAACTCCTTCGTAGGTTGAACACTCAAGGACGAAAGACCAAGATTCATCTTCGCACCATGGGTCATGATAAAACAGTAACAAGTTCTATTGTTAAAGGCCTGGAGATTTCAGACTTATCCGGCAAACATTTCTTTAAGCTTCCCAGTGTGTTTACTCAAAAAGAAATGCCTGTCTCCACAGACAACATAATCAGTGAAGAGGAGCTGACCAGATGGCCCTATCTGAAAGAGCTTAAAATCCCTCACATAAATTCTGATGTTGATCTGTTAATTGGCACCAATGCATCCAAACTGATGGAACCGTGGGAGGTGGTTAACAGTCAGGGTGAAGGGCCCTACGCCATCAAAACCTTACTGGGGTGGGTAATAAATGGTTCAGTACACGGATATGGTGATAGTGAGAGTGGTTACCCTTCAGTTCATGCCAACAGAACTGTGGTTGACAGAATAGAGGAGCTGTTGACTAGCCAATACAACTACGACTTCATCAAAAGGTCCTTTACAGAACAAGAGGAAATGTCAAGAGAGGAAAAGAAGTTCGTAGAAATAATGGAGGTCTCTGTTCAGCTTGAGGACGGACACTACAGGTTCCAACTACCTTTCAGAGGGAAAGACGTCTCAATGCCAAACAACCTTACCATTGCTCTGCAGCGTGTCCGTGGTCTGAAGAGGAAGCTTCAAAGAAATGCAAGCTTTCATGAGGAGTATACCAACTTTATTACTGAGGTCATAAACAATGGTTACGCTGAACAAGTGCCGCAACACCAGTTGGAGGCGACAAAGGGTAAAGTGTGGTATATACCGCATCATGGTGTATACCATCCACGAAAACATAAGCTACGGGTCGTGTTTGATTGTGGAGCAGAATATAAAGGGGTCTCACTCAACAGTCAGCTTTTGCAAGGCCCAAACCTGACCAGCTCTTTGGTAGGGGTCCTGATGAGGTTTCGGCAGGATCGTGTGGCACTAATGGCAGACATAAAGGCCATGTTCCACTAAGTAAAAGTGGCAAAGGAACATGTGGACTTCCTGTGTTTTGTGTGGTGGCCTCAAAGTAATCTGGAGCAAGATCTTGTAGAATACCGTGACTGTCCATTTATTTGGAGCAGTTTCCTCTCCCAGTTGCGCCTGTTATGCTCTTAGGAGGACTGCTGAAGACAACCAGGCCAGCTTTTCACCAGCTGTGGTCGAGACAGTCAACAGGAATTTCTACATGGATGATCTCCTGAAGAGTCTGCCCTCTGAAGAGGATGCTGTCACCATGGCTAAGGACCTCATAGCCATATGTAGCAAAGGAGGGTTCACTCTAACTCAGTGGATCAGCAACAGCAGGGAAGTGCTGCAATGCATCCCAGAGGAGCTCAGATCCAAAACCCTGTGTGAGCTGGACCTAGACAGAGACAAGCTGCCCGTGGACAGGGCTCTAGGTTTGCAGTGGTGTATTGAAACAGACAGTTTCAAATTCAAACTGAAAGTCAAGGAGAAGCCTTCCACCAAACAAGGTATATTATCCATGATCAGCTCCATCTATGATCCATTAGGATTCCTAGCACCTCTCATACTCCCTGCCAAACTGCTGTTATAAGACCTATGCAGGATGAAATGTGATTGGGACGATCCCATACCTTCAGCTTTCCAAGAAAGGTGGAACAAGTGGCTGACAGACCTGGAAAAGGTGGCAGATTTTCAGGTCAACAGGTGTGTCAAGCCCGAAGGACTTGGAAGGCGCTCAATTGCATCATTTCTCTGATGCTAGTGAGAGCGGCTATGGTACGGCTACTTACCTCAGAATGCAGAATGTGAAGGAAATGGTGCATATTGCTTTCCTGTTCGGTAAAGCCAGAGTCGCTCCACTTAAGGCTGTTACCATTCCCCGCTTGGAGCTAACAGCTGCTGTGGTTGCTGTCAGAGTGGATAGGATGCTTCAATCAGAGTTACAGCTTCCATTGAAGAAAGCCTGCTTCTGGACTGACAGCACATCAGTCCTAAAGTACATCAGAAATGAGGACCGGAGGTTTCAAACCTTTGTTGCCAACAGGATAGCCACCATCAGGGATAACACGGAAGTTGAACAGTGGAGATACATTCCAACAGCTTTAAATCCCGCTGATGATGCTTCTCGTGGATTAAAGGCAGAAAGCCTTTTGAGACAAAGATGGATGGAAAGCCCTGAGTTTCTATGGGATCCTGAAGAGAAGTGGCCAAAATCGCCTATGGATTTCAGTGTGACTGTCGATGACCCAGAGGTAAAAGGGAACCTCAGGGTCAATGCAACAGTTGTCGGCACCAATACCACTTCTCAGCTGATAACCTTTTTCTCAGACTGGCAAAGGTTAAAGGTCGCAGTCGCTTGGATCATCAAGCTGAAAGGAGCTCTGCTGAAGCTGAGTAAAAAGAGAAAGGAGTTGCAGCTCGCTAACACAAGTGCTAATGGAGCACCAGTGAATGTGCTAAAGGAGATGCAAGCATTCAGAAATTCACTTGGGAATCAAAGAGTCTTGCTGGAAGACCTCACAGAGGCTGAGACAGCCATAATTGCCTTCTGTCAACGAGAAAGATTCCCCGAGGAAATTGCTGCGCTAACCTCCAGCAATCCAGAGATACCCAGAAGTAGTAACATCTTTAAACTGGATCCTATCTTAGAAAATGGACTTCTGCGTGTTGGGGGACGGCTGAGCAAAGCAGCTATCCCTGAGGACATAAAACATCCCCTCATCCTATCAAAGGACCAGCACATCTCTCACCTTATTCTCCGTCACTTCCATTTACAGCTTGGCCATGGAGGCAGAAATCACTTCCTTTCCACTGCAAGGAGAAAATTCTGGATCACGAGTGGTGTTTCTGCAGCAAGGAAGGTCATAGCAAAATGCCTGTTCTGCAAGCTTTATGGAGGAAAAATGGGTGAACAAAAAATGGCTGACTTACCCGAGGAGAGAGTGGTTCCTGATCTACCGCCATTCACTAACGTCGGCGTAGATTATTTTGGGCCAGTGTATGTGAAAAGAGGGCGGAGCACTGTAAAAAGGTATGGAGTTGTGTTCACTTGTATGACAAGCAGGGCCGTGCACCTGGAAGTGGCTTACTCTCTAGATACTGACTCATGTATCAACGCATTGAGAAGATTCATCTCTCGAAGAGGACAAGTTTCACACATAAGATCTGATAATGGCACCAACTTTGTGGGAGCAGAGAGAGAGCTATGAGAAGCCCTGGCTGCTTTAAATCACAACCAAATTGAAAAGGCCTTATCACAGAGAGGAATCAAGTGGAGTTTTAACCCACCATCTGGATCACATCACGGTGGCACCTGGGAGCGTCTCATACGAATGATCAGAAAGGAGTTCTGTGCTTCGTCAACAAACATTAGATGATGAAGGATTTCATACTGTACTATGCGAAGCAGAGGCATTGCTCAATGATCGCCCCATCACAAAACTGTCAGAGAACCCCATCGACCTTGAAGCCTTAATACCAAACCACTTACTACTCATGAAAGGGAAACCAATTCTTCCACCAGGACTTTTTGACAAGACAGATCTGTACACCAGGAGATGGTGGAAACAGGTTCAATACATCTCCGACCTCTTTTGGAAAAGGTGGATCCGAGAGTATTTACCATTACTGCAAGAGCGTCAAAAATGGACAAAGGAAAAAAGGAGTTTAATGCCTGGAGATGTTGTCATGGTGATGGACTCCACAAGAGTACTCAAAACCTTTCCAGATAAGAAGGGTTTGGTACGTGTGGTTCATCTTCAAACCAAAACAAATGTGATAGAAAGACCTGTAACAAAAATATGTCTGTTATGTGAAGCCACAGTTTGATTTATCTGTGCAGTGATTTATGTAAAAGCTTGGGTTATGCTCTTATGCATATTCATATATTTGAAGTTTATTCATATTTGTACGGCTCCTTTAATTTATGTTTTTCTTTTTTAATTGCTTTGTCTTCTGCCAGACGCAATTAGGGGCTGGCGTGTAGGAGCCATGTTGTGTTTATTTATTTATTCTGTACCTCCAAAATACAGGAGGCAGTATTTCCTTTGTTTACTGACTCTACCCGGATGTTGGCGGGGGGTCAGGTAGGTTACTTGAGGTTACTCAGTGTTACACAGGTGTGGCTGATTAGAGGGGAGAAGCAAACAGTTTTCGACTGTGCCTGTGCTTGTGCTTGTGCCTGTGCTTGTGCGTTTTTCTGTTTATAATTTATGTGGACAAGTATTAAGTATGTGGCTTCCGCAAGAAATTAAATGAACATTATTATTTCAAACGCAAAGGAAGTTTTCGTTGGTTTATTGCCTTGCCCGAGTACACGTCAAAACAAAATTAATCAGAATCCAGTAGTGGCTACAGGACCAGTCACTACAGTGTGCTCACCCTTTTTTATCTGATAACTTAAGATCCAGACGTTCAGGAGGTTTTTACCAGGAACCAAATTATCCGCAGGGGTCTCTTTCTCCCTAAAAACAGTGCGAGTGTTTTAAGCTGATAAAAATACTGAATAAAACTGTTTCATGTTGAGTGTTTTCTCCGACACTGCTTGTTGTGGGGGGCTGCTAACTACGGTGGCTAATGCTAAAACGCAAATGGTCCTGTTTAGAGCCAATGGTGGTTTGTCCATTTTGGGCTACTGTAGAAACATCGTAGCGCAACATGGCGATCTCCATGGACAAGGACCCGCTCCCGATGTAGATGTAAATGGCTCATTCTAATGTAAGGAAAACACAATGAGTCTTATTTTCAGGTGATTAAACACTAAGGAAAACATTATTATATTATATTCCAGTTCTGCCAATATGTATCTCCCTAAATCCTGCACACTGGACCTTTAAACAAGATTTACAGAGTTCTCAAAATATGAAATTACCTAATTTCTAAAATATTTATAACTTTGAGTTGTCATTTGTTTCAGGTCCAGACCTGATGTGCAAACTTGTACATCCTGGAATGCTCCCATCATCTGGGAAGGGATGTTTGACCCTGACCTTTACGACCAAGCGCACAAGATGAAAGGATCCTCTGTGGCTCTCACAGTGTTTGCTGTTGGCAGGTTGGTTCCCACATAAACAGTGTCATAACTGTATGGATAAAGTGTCGTCACACCTGAATTTCATTTAGTGCCTTTTTGTTTGACTGCGGAAGCCATTAAAATGTAAGGAAATAAAACATGACTTTGTTCTTGTTTTCATTTTCACTAAAGGTACCTGGATGTGTACCTGGCGACCTTCCTGAACTCCGCAGAGGAGCACTTCATGTTGGGTTTGCCTGTGACATATTATGTCTTTACGGATGTGCCAGAGAAGGTGCCGGACATCAAGCTCGCTCCTCAGCGAAGCATAAAGGTTTTCAAAGTGGAGAAGAACTCCAGGTGGCAGGACATCTCTATGATGCGAATGAAGACCATATCAGATGTCATAGAGTCAGACATTCGTCACAGCTGCACACACGTCTTCTGCTTTGACGTGGATCAGGTGTTCACAGGGAGATTTGGCTCAGAGGCTCTGGGCGAGTCTGTGGCCCTGCTCCACGCCCATTACTACCACCTCCCACAGATGCTGTTTACGTACGACCGCAACCCAAAGTCCAAGGCGTTCATGCAAAGTGGGGACTTCTACTACCATGCTGCCATCTTCGGAGGCTCGTGGAAGAGTGTAAAAGCACTGACTGAGGCCTGCTACCAGAGCATCATGGAGGACAAGCAGAACAATGTGGAGGCTCTGTGGCACGATGAGAGTCACCTCAACAAGTACATGTGGCTTCACAAACCAAGCAGGGTGCTCTCTCCGGAGTACTGCTGGGACACCAGCATCGGCTACAGGAGTGACATACGAGTCAATCGACTACTTTGGGCGCTGAAACATTACGACACACTTCGCACACCTTAGTGTGTTTAGTATTCAGTGTGTAAAATCCCCTCCTGTGTTTTACAAATGGCATGAAAACTATTTGACAAACACTGCGCCCATGTACAAGACTGTTGCTGCAGCGGCCTGGGTTCGATTCCAGCCAGTGGCCCTTTGCTGCATGTCATTCCCTCTCTCGCTCTCTCTCCGCTACACGCTTAGCTTAGCTAAAGACATTTACATTAGATTACATCACATAATATATATTTATTGTCACTCAGAAATGAGGGTTAAATGAACCAAATAACCCACAACTACAGTGAAGATAATGGCTTCCTTTTTTTTTTTTTTAATGTCATGCAGGATGCAGACAGTTTCATTTCGTCTTCTGAAGAAGACATTAAAATAAAAACCACACATCTGTCTGTTTATTGAGATATAGGACCTGAAACAAGACAAGCTGTTGCAACTGATTTTCATTCTGAACTCTGTAAAACTTGAGTAGAAGCCAGAAGTTTTGAATTGAATTTGAACTGATTGCAGTGACAGATCACTGGAGTTTTCTCAATAGTGAATGTTGAAATTTTGTTTACTTGGCATTTCACACTGGGTTTACCAGTTTTGTTCATTCATGTATTTATATATTTGTATAATGTTTATTGTGTTTCACTCAGGACATTTAAAATGAACTGCTATGGCTGATGATGACTGACCGTTTATACATTTATACTGTTGGAGTAAGATGCATGAGTGCAAATGCGTTTTGTAGTTGTAACCTTGCAAACTATGTGTGCAGGCTTTCCAGAGCTTGCTGGTAAACAAGTAGTTTTAAGCAGATGTATAGGTGGCATTCTTCCAAACAGGCTGGGTCACATTTACTGCTGTATGAGCTGCTTTTCTGCAGGGACAATACTTGTATTTGTTTTTTAAGGAATTATTTCAAAGACGTTTTGTAAGACTTTTGTTAAGGAGAAATATAATATCCCAAAGCACCTTGTCCCAGACATGTCTCTGTCTTTCTGTCTTTCTTTTAGAGAAACAAAAAATGCATTTAATAGTTACTTAATTTATATAATGCTAAATGCTGTATGTAACTCTGGAGAACGTCATCAAATATCAATGTTTTGGTTGGTCCGATTACCCAATCCAAAGTGTTGGTATTTGAGGACCTGAAAGTGAGACTTGACAATAAACTATCTTTCTCCAGAGGTACAAACAGCACCTTTGAGAGTACAGTGAGTTCTTAACATTTACATCAAGGTCCATATAACTGTTCTACATCTTTGCAGCCTGTTGCAGGTGGTCTGACTTCATCAAAAGGTATTGCTGAAAGCTCCTTTTGCGTTGTGCAACAAGTTGCCCTGGCTGCACTCTAGAGACACTGGTGAAACAACAATAATGAAGATGATTTAGTTTGGTCAGTATTTCTGGTGCTGTTTATTTGAATAGTTTGTAATTAAGCCACTTCGGTTCTCTAAAATGTCCAAGCTTTGGAGTAGCAGTGTTGGCTATATGTTTGAGTACTTAAAGGACCCAAATCTGGCACTGTTCTTACACATTATACTAAATGTTTTAATATTGTGTATGCATTATAGTTTGAAATGGGGGTAAAATTTGAGATGTAGCAACTGTCTATTCAGATGTCTCAGTGTGTTAGATCTTTGAAAATCAAAAGAAAATTATATGCAACTGCTTTGATAAACAATTAATTGTCTCTGTCATTTTTCAAGCAAAAGTGTCAAACATTTGCAGGTTCCAGCTTCTTAAATGTGAGAATTTGTTTTTCTCAATCATTTATGATAGTCAATTAAGAGTCTTTAGGTTTTCAACTGTTGGTTGGACAAGAGAAGCAATTTGAAGACGTCACTTTGAGCTCCAGGAAATTGTGTTTTTTCACATTTGATTAACATTTTATAGACTAAATGATTGATAGATACATCATAAAAATAATCATCTGAATAGTCAATAATGCAGGTAATTGTTAGTTGCAGCCCATCAATTGACTGTTCCTGGTATAAATGCCAAGGAATACATCAGGCAGCCAGCCACTGCAATCAGAACAAAAAGGACATTTTGAGGACTTTGATAATAAAAGTATATTTTACTTAAAGCTTCAGAGCTGCAGCTCCTAACGCCAGCTAAGAATGAACAGTTGCTACAGTATATACTGTGGTTTCACCATGACAACAGGGTCCAGAGTGAAACTACGCAAAACCACATGCATTTGTAAAAAGGAAAAAACAAGAAACAGTGTGAAGAAAAACCACATGATGGAAACTCAGACAGTTGTGCGTGGGTTGTGTTCGCCTGTTGAGGGTAAATTCAAATCGAATTAGGTCAGGTTTTTAGACAAGCTTCAAGTGTGGATTTGGAACTGTTAAAGGATGTGGATTTATTTTTCACAGAAATATTTAAAGTGTTTCACACAAGAAACTGTTGCAAAGTTTTTCTCAGATTTGGGAACGTTCAGATTTGTAGTGCTCAGTATAAACTTGAAAATTAAACATAACGGCACAGAATTTTGATCATTAATTTAATTTTCTTACAAATAAAATCATCTCTGTACAGTATATTCATGTTGCAGATCGACAGGAAGTCTCAGGAACACATACTGTCTGAGCTGCTGAGGGCAGCCGAGGGAGCAGAGTGGTCTGACTTTCTCTGAGCTGAGGTCAGATTCAGGTAGCCCATCTCTGCCGATCGAGACAGGGGCCCAGAGATCGAATGATGAGGGGAGGAAGTCACGTCTGTCTGCTTGCTCTGAGTGTTGTCCAAGAGGCTCTGAACTTCAGACGGCTCAGGCATCTTCACACTGGAGACACAATCAAAATTCATAGTCATTTTATTGCGTTTTATTTAGCAAGCAAACAGGTTTGCTTAAATTCTAAATTGGGATCACACTTACCTTGAAGTTTGTACAGGGAGGGATTTGAAAACCTGCATAAGATTAGATGTTTTCTTCAGTTCCTAATTAAACAAAAATGATGTTGGATTAATATATCGTTTTGAAAAGAAATACATCTCTCTCTTTTAGACAGTATTTAGCAAAGATGGAGGCCTCTGGCTCCAGAAACAGCAAAGTAGGTCGCTCAGTATTTGTCAAACACTGTGGCAGAAGCAAAGTCTGTGAGGGCTGAGCCCAACAGCCTGAGGTGTGTTACAATAACCACAGTGGAGAACATAAACTTTTTAAATCCAGGTACTAATGTGGCCTTTTCCCTAATGCCACTCTCTGGCCAAGCTTTACATTTTTACCCAACTTGTTTTAAAGATCTAATAACTAAGTTGTCTGTCCATTTTAAGCTGTGCTATGCATGACTCTAGGGATGGCACTGTTGGTTAGTTGGTCCACCACTTCGATCCAGTCTGAAATATCTCAACAGCTACAGTACTGGATGGATATTTTGTACAGACATTCATAGTAATTTTTTTAATTCAGGACTTTTACTTGTAACAGAGTAATTTTACAATGTGGTATTTTTACTTCAGTAAAATATCTAGTTCTAGTCAGGAAGGTAGTTGATCTAATGTAGCTTTACAAGGGCCCAACTACAGCAGTAACTCCAGATCGTAGCCTGTGTATAAAGATGAAGTAGACATGCCCGGTACCTCAGCAAAGTGGAGTGACTGCATGTTTTGCAGGCTGCGTTCCACAACTGCTAGCTGATTGGACATGTGGAGTATTCTGTTTCCTAGTTTCTTGTTTTCCATCTCCAGAAAATCCACCCTTGAGATTAAAGCAAACAATGAAGAGATCTTTGTCAGTGACGACACCTTAGCTAAAGGTGCAGTAATCCTTTGAACATAATGTTTAGACTCTGTTTCGTTGTGTGATTTAGTGTTGACGAATTGTTAATTCAGTACCTGCATTTGGACAAAGAGGCTGTTAGATTACTGGCTTTCTTGTTGCGCTCCTCCTCATCTAGCTGTTGCAGGAGCCTTCTCCTCTCAACAAGTAGTTTCTCATTTTCCACAGTGATACTTATGGTAAGCTCCTTTTCCTGTAAAAGAAAAACAGTTTGAATTCCTTCAATTCATCAACCAATATATAATGCTATTTATCAATAAAAAAAAAGAAATGTCTGTGAGGTGTGTCACTGTGGGAGTTACACTATGAATCAGCGTCTCCTGGGGACTTTCAGCTTTACCACAGTTTAATACTTTCCATGACAGCCTGCTACGGCGGCCACTGAGTCAACATATTATTATACAGAAGAAGAGAAGCCGTAACCTTTTTTCCAGAGCAAACGTTTTTATATCAACGGAGGTGAGAATAAATATTGATACTGAAATCAGTCCTGAACATTAATTAATTATAAAACAAATAACTGAATTTGAATTTCTGGTTTTGTTTGTGGAAGGCATTACAAACTGCAGATTTACCTTTGCTACTGAATGGGAACACAAGGACAGTTCTCGCTCTAGATTTTGTATCTTCTCGTCACGCCATTTGGTTTCATCGTCATATTTCTGTTTGGCTCGACACAGCTTGGCCTTGTGCTTTTCCTTCATTTCGTGGTATTTACTGTAAAGAGATGGACCACGAGAAGGAGAGAAGCTGTAACACAGGCAGGCTATGTGGTAGCTCACAAAGTTGCAAAGCATGGTAAGCCAGTGAGTGATGGAGAGTTTGTGCAGGACAGCTTCTTGAAAGTGGCCGACATCTTATGTATTGAAGCTGTGTGGCTCTCAGTGATGTGCTGGTTCCCTATATTGGCACTCAGCCATCAAAACTTTAAGAATCCCTCGGCTAAAATATAAACTACAGTCTCGTCAAGCTTTATTTTGTGTTGTGCTTTTCAGCTGACAGCAACATCATACTCATGAGCCTATTACCTCCGCTCTTTGTCGAGGCATTTAAGGGTGTCACAGATCTCCTTCTTGAGTGTCTCGCACTCATCTTGGGTGGCCAATAGAGCCTTCACTGCGTCTTGATAATCAGGACACTCCTACGGTGCAAAATACAGACAGTCATCAGCAGTGACGGGAATTCACAGTACATGTAGTACATTGTGCAACTCACACTGGCACATTCAAATAAATGTACAGCTTGGGTTTCTCTGATATTAACACGTGGGTTAGTCAAAGGTCTGGTCAAAGGTCGCACAATAAATGGAAGGTAAAACACGTCACCAGACAGTAGGCCTGGTAAATGTTCCAGTAAATTCAAATATGTAAACATTACCTTCCGCAGTGTGTTCTCTTCCTTCTGCAGCAGCTGTAGTTCTTTATCGTCTTGCTGACAGTGAGTGTTTTCACAATGCTGCAAATCTGTCTCTTTTTGCTTCTGCAACCTTCAAACACATACAGAAACCTTCACTAACAGATATGTTTCTGCAACACTGAGAGTTGGAATGCACATACAGTAGCTGCTGGATGGTGTACAGAGGTAGAATTTCCTACTTTTGTTGCTGAAAATCATTTTCTTTGGCGCAGATGGTAGCTACAAGATTATCCAGCTCATTATGGGAAGGATCCAGCTGCTGCTTGAGGGAATGTATCTGAGAGGATAAGAAAAAGTTTTTGACGTCATGCACAAGCAGCAAAGACTATTGCAGTTGAAGTACTCACTTTTGACTCTGTGTTGAGCAGGCATCTGGACTGAGTGCTGAGCTTGTTTTGTAAATCTCTGCAGATCTCATTGCTCTGAATCAATTCAGCTGCCTGGGACTGGAAACACAACAAGATCAATATTCAGGTACCGTTCATCGACCACAACTTAATTTCATGAGTCATGTTTCTACTTATGTGTTTGGGGTCGGTCAGAGATATGCATATAGAGATTAATAAAACTGTGTTGAACCTTTGCTGTTTGACATAAAAATAAAAATAAAAAATAGCAATTAAAGCGGATATAATCTCTCGTTATGCTCCAGGATTTGTACAGTGAGACTTACTTTGACTAACTCATTAGCCTGGTTGGCCCGAGCCTGCACAGTGAGGAGCTGCTGCTCAGCCTGCTGCTGCTGCTCCTGCAGGGCTGACTCCAGCCGCTCCACCTCTCTCTGCAGAGACACCACCTGAGACACATTATGAAGATCAATGCAGTTACCAAATGTCTGTCTCAGCACAAGGTCCACAATCACAGTGCACTTTAAAGGTTTGACTGGTGGGAGCTTTTACATTTGAAAATAATACAGGCACCAAAGCTTCCAACAGGTGATACTTTGTAATCTGTAGCTGTGTGCCTCTGCCAACCAGTCACATTGCAGTTTGCACCCTTATCTAATATAATACATGTAGCACACTTTAAATGGATTGAATAAAAGGCATTAGGTGTATATTTGGTGAAATGGAAGTTATCACTCTATTGACGTATATTATTCCAGTGAGAAACATGGCGTTTTCACTTAGAACAGGGGTCGCCAACCTTTACTATCAGAAGAACCATTTTTGACCAAAATAACAAAATTAAAATCTATTTGGAGCCACAAAACATATTTTTTGTAGCCTCATAATGAAGGTAACAAGAATAATATCAAGTCCAAATTAGCCAATCAACATTAATAGTAGGTCTCCATGAGCATTCATTATTTTTTTTTTACCACAGGGTGGCTATTCTGCAGTGGGCTATTTATGAGTATTTGGAACTTAAACTGTGCAGAGCTGGCGGTAAAAGCAAATGAAACTGTCTGCACACTACTAAATTCTCTATTCTCCTCTGAAACTTTCTGGATTTGGATTTATAGATAGCCTACCTAAGGTGCCACCACTTTTGAGGTGTGGCAAAATTTTGGGAAAAAGGTGCCAGGCCACAGAAATTTGAAGCACATTTTAGCTGACGAAATGTTTAAACATTTTTTTTTCATTTTGTGCATAGGTGCATAATTTCTGTAGGCCTAAAACAATGATAAACAAAAATGAAAATGCTTAAAAAAATGCAGAATAGCTAAATAGCCCCATGTGGCTCCAGAGCCACAGGTTCCACACCCCTGACTCAAATGCTGTTTCTACAGAGAAGTACAGGGAGCTTCATCACATGGTGCTACAATGACTATCACTTGAACTTTAAAATCAAACACGAGTCTCAGATGAAACAGAATGAATCCTCTGCAAGCACAATCAGTCCACTGATCTGTGATTATGGACAGTGTGCTAGATTATTGCTACACGTGCACAGGACAAATGTGCAACTGTTCCTGGCTGCAACTAACAATAATGTTTGTTACTGATTAATCTGTAGATTATTTTCTTGAGTAATCGTTTGGTCTACAAAACATTATAAAACAGTGATAAGAGTCTGTTACACTGTCCTTGAGCCTAAATGACCTTGATCAACATTTCCAAACCCAGAAGTATCAAATATACTATAACGTAAGACCAAGGAAATCACCAAATCTCCACATTTGAGAACCTGGAAATATCACATTTTTAGCATTTTTGCATGAATTCATAACCAAAATAGTTGTCGAGCGATTTTATCAATTGAATAATTGATTAATATGTGCAGCTCTGCAACTGAGACAGTACAAGTTGTCAGAATAAGACTCATTATCATTATACTGTAGAGAAGAACAACAGCATTAACTGCACACACACTCACTATTAATATAGGCCCAGAGTCTGAAACAAAGCAGACTGAAATATCTCTTCCAGTATCAGCAAAGCAATGAGCCTGAGCAATGATTACCAGAGAAACAGGATGTAGGAAGTTGTAGTCATGACAGTTGACAGTGCTTCACATATGGATGCAGCTGCAAAGAAACTACCAGAGCTCTACAATCAGCACAGTTTCAAGGTGGACGCCCAAGATCAGTGTCACTGATTCAGAAACATTTGGTCAGATGACCTGTCTGTCTGTTCCTGAGATATGGCATCGAAAAATGGCCAGAATACATTGTGATGTCACAATGAAACTGACCTTGGACCTTTTGGATATAAAATGTGATCACTTCATAATTTTATCCTATTATTAAAGACATTATAGACACTGAGATTCTGTCATAATTAGTGCAGGAATTCTTGAGTTATGGCCAAAAACATGTTCTGTGAGGTCGCAATTACCAAGTCCAAGCGGACGTTTGTGCCAAATTTAAAGAAATTCCCTCCAGCCGTTCCTGAAATATCGCATTCATGATGAACGGACAACCTAGAAACATAGCGCCTCCGGCTACAGCTGTCACAGGTGTGTGTATGTGCTTGGTAACACATCAGCTGACAAACACACAGTGCCTGATATATCTGTAAATACTTCAAAACAATACGTGTCTTGTCTTCAGGCAGTTTTACTGTAAGCTCACAAATCCTCCAGTATACAGTGTTTAACCAGGATTTTCTTTTATTTTACACTGACATCTTTAAACAAGTTATTGGCTTAAAGAGATACACAGCATGGTGCACTGGCAAGGTAAACTGCAATTTAAAAAAGATGCGGCATAAATATTGGAGAGAATTTGGAAGCTTTTCAGGACTTACTGCGAGGTTTGGTGTCACAACACTTGAAGGATTCTTTATAATCATTATAAGAGACATTTGATGGTGGTTTTGATCAGTTTGTTTGTTTGGAGGAGAGCTGAAACGAAGCAGTCGGGGCCACATTGTTGTGCGTTCAACAGCAATATGAACTATCCATGATAACTTCCATTAGTCTGTTCAAATTTTTATGTACTCACAGTTTCCTCCTTTCCTAAAAGGCGTCTCGTCTGAGCAGTGAGCTCCTCCTGTAAGTGTCTGCAGGTCTGGTTGCTCTGTGCTAGCTCTGCTGCTTGACACTAAACGACAGACACAAGAAGCTACTTTTTCAACACAAATATACACATTCCTCTATCAGGTGTATTGTTTTGAAGAATCTTAAGGAACAAGACTAGTGATGTAGTAAAAATCTGAAACCAGTTGGTCTGTACTGTATCCTACTTTAAACTGGCATCTATCCTTTATAATACATGCAAACATGGTGATAACGATAAATGTCTGTATGTTTGATATAAATTACATTCTGACTGTTTCAGTGTCAGATGTATTTCTCAGGGATCTGTGTAATGGGACTTACTTTAGCTAACTCATTGACCTGGCTGGCCTGAACCTGCTCAGCCTGCTGCTGCAGCTCCTGCAGGGCTGACTCCGGCCGCTCCACCTCCCTCTGCAGCGACACCACCTGGGGAACATATATACTGCATCTTTATCTCTGAGAATAATACACATGCATGAGACACCATAAACAATGTACTGTAGCAGCAGGTTGTTGCTAGATTAGATTGAGCAGAAACATTTTGACTACAGCTATTTACTGTCAGTTTTTTGGGTGATGGTGAGCCATTTTGAGTTCCTCGTTGAGACAGAGGGAAGTGGAATAAATGCCACTTCACCCAACGCTGACAAAAAGCTGTTGGATCTATTTCTTCTCCATAGCTCTGCATTCATGCAAGACCTCCGCATGACCAATGACATTAGAATGCAAACTGCATTCATTTATTCACTCCTGAGCAATGAGCTTCTTCTGTTTATCGCTTCTATATTCACATAAGAATTCAGGCATACTTTGATTTTATAACTTGTGCAGATTTTCAACATTTATTTGTTCTCATAATGAGTTTAAGCAATGAGGTTTACTTCAGCCAGCTCTGTGGACTGGTTGGCCTGAACCTGCACAGCAAGGAGCTGCTGCTGCTCCTGCTGGGTGGACTCCAGCTGCTGCACCTTCTCTTGCAAAGACACCACCTGAGGCAAACACACATACAGAACAGTATTTTCATTACTGATTCATCTGCTGACTATTTTCTCAATTAAACATTTTGTCTATACCCATGGTTCTCACCAGTTCTCTGAAGTTTACTTCCACTATTTAACTCACTTTTGAAGTGAGGTCAGTGTGAGAAAGAGTCAAAAGAGACTATTCTGAGCAGAGGTTTCACTTCTTCTGTGGTTATCTTGCCAACTGTAGTTGACAACTATAGAAATCTGGTCCTAATCATATCTAGCAACTGGAATCTTTTCAGATGGAGGTTCCTGAAGTGAAATCTTTTCAAATGGAGGCCTGTGACTGAAGTGAAATCTTTTCAAATGGAGGCCTGTGACTGAAAGTGTGTTGGTTTAGGGGAACTTGACCCGAATAAGGTCGTGAGCCACTGGTCTATACTGCATCAAAAGGTAGTAAACATGTCCCTTTAATTTTTTTGTTTCCCTTGGCACAAGCTGACATATTCAAGTTTCTTATTAAAAAATATTAAGTTTGCTATAATGCTTAAAAGACACACATCTCAACATTTGAGAAGCTTTGGTATTTTTTTCTTGAAAGAAGATGAATCAGTTATCACTGTCAATGATCAATCAATGTCAATCAACTTATCAACTAGTTCTACAGTGCAGTAACACGATTACACTTGTGTATAATATTTGTCTGTCGACGTTATTACCAGTGGCACACATTTATAAGACAATTGAGAAACACTTAACACTTAAAACACAAATACAAAAAATACAAAAACAATTACGCATCTAAGCCCATGGCCAACATTTCTAATGTACATTTAGAAGTGTTCACAGTGTCACACTGTGGTTAGCAACTCTAAACAGTGGTAATATTTATGCTGTTTCCCATCCACTGGTTTAACAGACAGGAAAACAGTGCAAGCAACCGCAATATCACTTAGTTGATATAAACAAGTGTAGTGGTTACTGAGCTGTGTCTACACCATCCACACTGAGCAGATGCAGTGCTAAATAAACAAGTGTCTCAGATACAACAGTATGAATGCTCTGTGAAAACTATGAGTCCATTGATCTAATAATATGGACAGTAACTGCATTATAGCCACAACAGTACTAAACAAATGCACATTACTACTGAGCTGGGCTGCAATTAATGATAGTTTAGGTCTATAAAACAGTAACAAGAGTCTGTTGCAATATCCGTGAGCCTAAAGTGACTTCATCGTGAATCTTGTTTTGGCTGATCAACATTTACAAACCCAAAAATATTACATTTATTATCATGTTAGACCACAGAGAGCAGCATACGGGCCTACTGTCTGAAATAAGGAAGACTAACATATCTGCCCCTGTACTTAATTGGAAGAAATCAGGGCAAGGGTTTGTTTCACCACTTACATACTTTACAATTTATAAGATCTTACCAACATAAAGCATCACTGAGAGTGAAGTGTGTGGCCTATACCCACAAAATAAGTGCTATAAATATAAGCTTATTCTGGTACTGAAAGTCGAAAGTCTTTGCTGCAAAAATTCATAAATGTAGTGTTTTCTGACAATAATGTTTAGTAATAAAAGACCTTATTCCAGCAGGTATCTTACCGTCTGCTGCAGAGAGCTCTTCTCAGCATCCAGGGTGCGCACCCTGTTCCTCAGGGCTCTGATCTCAAGGTCCAGACGATCGTTCAGCTCTTTGGCCTTTCGCAGCTCCACCATTTCTTTTGAAATAAAGTCACACAAAGCACTCATCAGATAATAAATAATACCTGTTACAGGATTACACTCTGTGAAATGCTCGTTGATTGCATGTACTATAACAAACATTGATATTTTATTTCATTTTAGGTACTTTTTTTATATGATTTAACAGGAAATGTGATTTTTGTTGTGAGGATGAGATAAAGGGCAGCGGGGTGGCTCAATAAGGTGGATATTTCTGTGTGGAGTTTGCACATTCACCCCCTATTTGTGTGGGCTTCCTCCCACAGCCTAAAGACCATAAAACTCTGTAGATTACCGACTACAACAGTGACTGCACACAAAGACAGAAATATGCATATGCATTCTTTTCGTCAGACTTATAAGGCCGCACGTACACTTGATCCTGTTTTATAAATCTCAGTCATTCTGGAGCTGGGTGCACACGTACATGCATCATTTCCACTTCCACAGGACGCTATGAATGGATGTGGAAACACTCATAAACATCTGTTTGCATATCGATACTTATACTTAATAGGTCATCAGCTTATATATGACACGTATCCATGGTTTTTGCACGTACGCATCATTTACACAGCTAACCCCTGCAGGTGATGCAAAATGGAAACTGTAAATTCTCTTAAGGTACAAATATGACTGTGTTTCATTGTATGTGCAATAGACTGGTGACATGTCCAGGGTGTTCCTTTCCTCTCACCCAGTGCGTGCTGATATAACCTCCAGTCTGTGTGAACAGAATAAACAAATATATAAAATAGATGAATCTGAGCTGTGCGGGGATTATAGCACAGCTTCTTTCCTCCTTTTTACACCCGATATAAACTCAGTAACATGGCAATTCTTTGGAAACAGACTAAAGAACACACATGAAAAAGAATTCTTACCATATTTCTTCAGTTTTTGTACTTCCTGTCTTAGTTGCTCTACCTCCTGCTGGGCTGCCTGCAGCTCAGGCTCTAAAAAACACAGATGTAAGAATAAACACAAGGCTGCTGGCAGAGATTCCTCATCCATTGAGAGCAGTGGAAGTTGGTGGTAACTTCAGTTTTAGTTCAGAGTCTGTCTGGATATTGTATAATGGCAAAATAACTCCTGAAAGCTCGTTATATATAATATTTATTAAGGATTCTGCGGAAAGTTTGTGATGTTTTCTTTTCTAGCAGTGCTGTAAACAATGATCTAAAGGAAAACTTCACCCACAACATTATTATTTGTATACTGCTCACCCTCAGTTCCATTAAATTTGTGAAGAATGATTAGATTTTCTTGCACGCCTCCATGGTGAATGAAGAAAAAAGGTCATAGGTAATCATGTTTAATCTCTAAACTTAAGAACTATATCAAAATGCAATTTCTTGTGACTCATCAAGAAACGCTGAAATAGTGATGACGTCAAGCTACTGTGTTATCACCATGGAAAATCTCTTTCAGAATGATAAACTGTTTGTAAATAGCTGATTAATTTCTCCCACCATAAGCTCTTTGGGTCAAGTGAGCAGACTCCAACTCATCATTCAAACGCCGGATCTCATTGTGGGCCATGGCCAGCCGGCGGGAGCCCTCCTCCACATCCCGCTCCAGACGGAAATACTCCCTCTCCACGCTGCTTGGCTGGCCGGCCAAGTGCCTGGCCTCAGTCTGAAGAGAGAAGGACAGAGCGACTGACCAAATGACCAGCGGGAAAATATTTGCCGCACTATAACGAGAACTGATGAATACAAACAAGACATGTTCGTAAACACATGCAAGAACAGATAAGAGACCTTGAGAAGTGCACTGGATCAAGATGCATCAGTGGTGTAGTGTCTTGAATTTCTTCTGCCATGCAAAGTTCCCTAGTCTGAGCTGGTAACAGAGCTTAATAACACTGGAACAAAAAAAAAGTTGCAGTTAATGTGGATGCTGCTGAACGGGAGTTTTGAATGGAAAACATGCAAAGACATCCTTATATTCAAGCGTGCATGTTGCGATACACAAAATAAAGCCAGCGCGGCTGATTGTCACTAATTTTGTAATGAAACTGAGTGCAGTTTTTAGTGTTTGTTAGTATGGGATGCAGAAACATTACTGCCAATAAAAACACATACAGGAATAAAAGTATGTTTGCTCTGTGATGCTTTGTGTCCAAAGAGTCTCTTCCATGGGCTCTGGCTATGACGTGGTGCCCCCTTGTGGGAAGACTGTGGAATAACATTAGACCACATCATCAGAATAAGACAAGTGTTTGTGTACTTCATGTCTTTAGGTTCTTCCTCTAACCTGGTGTGCAGTGGTGTTCAGCGCCTGGGCTTCGGTCCCCAGTGTGCTGGCTGTGCTTCCATCACCCGTTAGATTGCCAGGACCCTCATTCGTCTCAAGTAAGGAGGCTCTCTCCACCAGCAGGTAGGCCACCTGCTCACTGGGGCTGCTGTGAATCAGCTCTGTGAGACCCTGCTGGTACAGCATCTTAGCCACCTCACTTATCTGGGCATCTGTCACAACAGAAGATGGTGACAGAGTAGGATTTATAATGGTTTAAAATCATCAGTTTGAGGCAGCTTTGCCAACATGGCTTGTGTTCTTTAGGGATAAATGCTCACTGGCTGGTATCACAATGTCACCCTCAGTCCTTTTGTTCCTGTTCTGCCTTTCTGTCCATCCCTTTAGCCACAGTCCTATGTCCTAACTATGCTTAGGTTATGTTTATATTAACTATTATTTTGTCATACAGTGTAAGAATACGGGCATGATTTGTAATTTATGACAAGTATGGTGCAGGAAGGCCATTCAGTGTGCATGGCCAAAAAATAAATTGGTACAAAATGGTGAGGAAGATGCTGTGAAATCTGCGTAGGTTTGGATTGCAATAAGTTTTTGACCGTGTTGTACAGTGTTACAGTGTGCTATAATGTGCAAGATTGTGTGAAAACAACTAAGTAGGAACAGGACCTGTCGTATTTGTAATCTCAAATAAACCTCCTTCAAGGTTTGCCTGCTTCATTAGAGTACACTGGGTCTTCAAAAACAGGTTGAACTGGAGGGCCTTGTACACACAGACAAGAGTATTTTTTAAAACAAGTTTTACCTCCTTCATTCTCAGGAAAATCCCCACCCACACAAGCACTGTTTTAAAATAAATCTCCGTCCAAATGAAAACACAATTAAAGTGCTGTCAAGAGTACGCCAAACCAACAGGCAGCAATATAAGCATAACCCAAAAGCCACGCAAAGAAAAAGAAGATGTTGGCCAATCAGACGCCTGAAAAAAGCTATTAACAGAGGACTTGCTGTTGCAGTGGCGGCACAGTGGTGCTGTGGTTAGCATTGTCACCTCACAGCAAGAGGGGATCCTGGTTCAAACCCAGGGGAGGGGGAGCCCCTCTGTGCAGAGCCTGCATGTTCTCCCTGTGTCAGTGTGGCTTTTCTCAGGGTATTCCAGCCTTCTCCCACAGTCCAAAGACATGCAGGTTAATTGGTAGGAGTGAATGGTTGTTGTTTGTTGTATGTCAGCCCTGTGATAGTCTGGCAACCTGTCCAGGGTGGAGCCCCCCCCTCTCGCTCAATGTCAGCTGGGATAGGCTCCAGCGCCCCTGTGACCCCCAACAGGATAAGCCATAACAGAAAAAAAAAAAAAAAACATGTAAAAAGTCCTGTTAGCAAGGTTAGAGCTAACACTATTTTGGCCATGTCCGCCATTGCATGAAATGCTGCCTCATTTGTGACTTTCTGAACATCTTTACCCTGGACACAGTTTCACAAAAGGTCCACTTTCAGTGACCTAAAACACAGTTTGGACCAAACACCAAAACACATCGAAAAAGCTTCATTTGCAAATAAACCCATGTATGCTTAGACAAGGCCTAAGTGGCATAGGGAAATTGAGCATGTAAAATGGCCACTACAGATGCCCTCAGACTATCCCAGTCACCTGACTCTCATTTACCTGCTCACCTTTTTCAACTTTCCCTCATCAGCCCTGCAGTGTTTAACCAGCCCACCAGATTGTCTACATATACGTCGTGCTGTTGCTTTCAGACATACATCCAGTTACCTAGAACCTACCAGACTCTGAATATGGCTCTGTCAGCCTGCACGTTTCCCTGCCTTACTCCTGTTGCCTGTGGACTCTCAGTTAATCCTGTTTGGACTTTCTACCCATGCAAGTAAGCTTATGTTTCTTCATTTTATCAGTAACTCCCTGAACTGTTGCTGTCTGTTGGATTATTCTTATTTGTAGATTGTGTACAGGTACCTTGAAGGGATATTAGACGTTGCAGCTGGCTATTGAGCTGGTCGTTTTCGTCTTGTATCTCCTGAGCTAAAACATCTTTGTGCTCCGTAAAGATCCGGATCTGCTCCAAGGACTTGCGTACCTTACAGAGAAACAGAAAATTGACACAGACCTTGACTTATTCTTGCTCTTCTTGACCATCTCTGATGTCACTGATAACACAATAGTGATGACTGACCTCTGCCATCTCTGCTAAGTGTTGGGAGCGCTGGGTGTCCAGGTCCCATTTCACACTGTTCAGACGGCTTCTTGTGCGCTGGAGAGCCCTCCATAGCAAACACAGCTGAGCCTCCCTAGGGGAGTCAGGAGCGAGTCTCTCCTCAGTGAACCATGTGGCGATCTGCTGCAGCTCCTCCTGGGGATGGCGTGGTGACATGTGGACATGGTCACAAACAGCTGACTTGATCTGATACTTATAAAGGGCTCACTGTCTCTGACTACTTGCATTGTTGGAGGAGACACTGAATGACATCTTTGCAATTAGTCTCTAATGTGAACATTATGTAATTCTACTCTGTAGATACAATATCATTATTAAAATATGTGGCCTATTTCTTTATCTCACCCTTCAACTCCGGTTCACTTCTGTGAGAGAAAGTGATGGTGATACAAGATTAAAATACATAAACAACATTTTCAGATAAGATGAGGTAATAATCAACCTTGTGTTTTTTTCCTGGTCGTAATAACGCTAACATGTCATATCTCAAGATGGCAAAAAGCTTGTAAAAACAATCTATATCAACAAAGGCTCTACAACTCTGAACTATAGTGAGATAGCTGCCACCTCTTTTGGCTGTGGCAAAAGTTATTTGCACATTTTGGGCAGCAGCTGTTTCTCTCTGTGGAGACAGCTGGCATCGCCAAAATGTTTCCGCTGAACAGCTTCCTCCTTGTTTATCTGTGGTGGTCTGACACTGGGAATAACTGGATAACAGAACAATAGGCTAACTGATCACACTTTATTTCATCTGTGTTAATGTGAAGTCCTTACAGCTTAGTTATTATGTTTAATCACATGCTCTGCAGCCACACTTGCTGAAACCCACACATCTTTTTTTGTTTGTGTTTTATTATGTGTGTGCTTTATTTATTTAGTCATCACACATATGACAATAAGTGTAAACAATACAAGGCTGCTCTACGTTCTTAACAATTTAAGCTAAAAAAAAAAAATCCAAATCATTCAGACTCTTGTAACCCTCAAAAATAGCTTTGTAAACCATTCTTTTAAAAAAACAAAGATGAATGACTCATTTTTAAATCTATAATTGCATTGTTATACAATTTAACCCCAACAATAGCTTGTAATCTCTGTTTTGGGGGGCTTTTTGTGTGGTAAACTTACAAATATGTCAGATCGTATTGCTCTCTTGTACTAAAAAAAACATTTGTGCACAGTCAGGGAGTGACTTTGATTTTGGTCTGTACATTATTTGCATTTTTTTTTATAATATACCAAGTCATTACAGTTAAAACAGCACGTTGGTGTGATCATAATAACCAATCTACTGTCTGTCCCCTGCTCCAGACTGAAAACAAATGGTGATCGTGCCTTTGAAGTCGTGGCTCCAACACTTATAAACTCTTCCATTAGGTTTATGGTCTGCGGAAACGGCCTTCTCCCACCAAAATTGTCCAGTGCTTGTTCCCTGGTGTGTTTCTGTTTGAGGCCTCAGTAGCGTGTATGTACCCTAAGTTAAACTTTCTTTTTGTTGCCTTGTTTTATTGCCTTTGTTTTTATTGATTGCATGTTTCATTGTTGGATTGCTTGATGGTATTTTGTGAGGCACTTAATTTCTGTGAAAGGTGCTACATCAAATACATTTTATTGTGTATTATTATTATTACAATATCAATACCTATGGCTTGCTTTTGTGTAAGACACAATAAGATATATAATATGAGTGAAAAATGAATTAAATACAAGGCATTGGGGCTTAATATGTCCCTAGATTTATACAGGATTGCTACTGGCTTAGAAATGTTTCCTTTAATATGGTCAATATGTTGTTTCAATGTCTGTTTATGATCATTTACAACCACTAAGAAATGTTTCAATTTCAACATCGCAGATTTTCATTCAGTATCTCCATCAATTTCTGTTAGATTTCCAACAACCATGAATTTACTTTTATCATATTGAGAGCTAGTTTGCTGACATCAAACCAACTCCCATTCAATAACACACACAAGTTTTCCCAGAGCAAAATACATTTGTATCGTCTGGTGAACCCAAACTTTCCTAAGATGCAAACCATATCAGGATATCAGAGAGGAAATAGGTATGTGCACAATGCACAAGACATAAACAATCTATTTGAAGGGTTGGTGCAGCCAAAACAACGAGGACAAATATGCACCCAGTGTAAACAGTACAGTTTGTAGAGCTGAAACAAGCTGGTGATACTGTTGTGTGATACAGGGTGGACTAAGATGATGTTTTAAACCTTTAAAGTGACAAATGGGAGACTGTTAGAAAGTCAATTTAATCTCGTCACCATCTTTGCAGCGTTCACGTACATTATTTGTTTAACGGTTTACAGTTTTACCTTTAGGTTTTAGCTAACCGTGAAGTAAACTAAACGAAGAAAACGCAGACTGTGTTCGTACCTCTGATTGGTCCATTAGTCCTGAAGTGGGGAAAAACTTTCGACCACGGTTAACCATCACATTTATCACATTTCAGCCTTTAATTTTAGTCCGAAAAAGTCCGACTGCGACCACCGAAAGTCCGCTGGCATCGGTACAGAGCTCAGCCTCCACAACACCGCGACGTAAACGTCCCACTATTGTCTCCCAGCTGCTGTCCAACGGTAATAACGGTACGTAACGGACAAGAATGCACTCACTCAACTTCCCACCGTCTTTGTCGGGATTTAATAAACAGGAAGTCGAAACTTTAACGTCAAAAAGCAGCGACGAAGAGTGGAAACGTGATGTGAGCAGAGGCTGGAGGAATGTACAGTAAGGAGTATCTCTCTGTGTCTGTTACTACTTGTAAAAACCGTAAAAACTCACGGGTCTTGCGCGCTGTGATTGTGGGCTGTCCGTCGGTCCTTGAAGGGGTCTTGTGGGACTGTGAACAGCGTGAATAGTTCAAAATCACTAATAAACACCAGTAAAAATGAAACCTCGTGTAAGAATCATTTCATATTTAATCTTTGGCTTACTTAAAGGGCCAGTGTGTAATATTTGGCATGGTTTATTGTCAAATCTGAATCTAAATCTGAATATTCTATCCATTAATATGTTTATATAAGTCTATAATCGCTATAAAATAAAATTCGTTTGGTTTTCGTAGCCTTATAATTATGCTTTTATATATATATATATATATATCAAGGGCCTTGCTTTAGAGAGGTCACCATCTTGCGCCGCCATGTATGTATGGCAGACCAAGCGGACAATCCAGCCAGCCAGAGAACGCGTTTCGCGTGTATAAATGAACCAACGAAGACAGCGGAAGGAAAGAAGGAGGAGGAAGAAACAGCAGAGAGTGTTAGTAGTTCGTAGATAGAGAGTAGTGGAAGTTTTTTTTAGTTATAAAGTTTGCGAATGGACCACACTTACCACGCAACAGGAGAGAATGAACCCGAACCGTCATCTGCGAGGAAAAGAAGACGCAACTTCACTCCTTGTGATGCACTCTCTGCGGCGCTTTTCCTCCTGGTGAGATATGTCCCCAACAATGGTAGCAGTAGCACCGAATCCCATTCTGTGCAACAAAATGGGAGCGGAGGATTCAGCCTCTCTTCTCGCCCGCTCAGTATCCAAGTTCCTCATCTGTGTGCTCCGGCTCAAACAGGTATGGCCCTGGGTCTGTGTCCGCTACAAGTAACTCTTCAAAATCGTGTTCAAAGTCGTCCATTGCAGCTACTATAGTCCGGAGATATTGCTAGGCTAAATAAACAGCTGAGCTCTGTTTACAGGCTACGCTGTCAGTCAGTGTGCGGGCTGGAGGTTGGTGGAGCAGAAAGGGGAGGGGGTGCCCGCTAGATATGGTAAACGAGAATGTGTGTATGGAGTGTGTCTGTTACGCTAGAAGAGTCAGCGTTTGGGACGGAGTGGAGTGTTACCGGAGTTTTTGGAGTGCTCAAATAAACTGGCCTTTTTCCCGAACGCTACTCTGGTCTCCTGCTCGTGAGGGATTTATTACAATATTGTAACATGGTTTAGATTTCTAAATAAACATTAACCTAGTAGCTAGATAGACCTACTCCTGAAAAACTCATGTCTGCGCAAGGCTTTTTGTCCCTACGAGGCTACCGTCATTTACCCGATGGGAGGGGTGAGTGAGTGAGCCCTGCAATCTAGAATTTGACCACTGATGTCACTGTTTTCAACGGTTTTCAACCCATTTTACACACTGGCCCTTTAAGAGCGAAAATGATGCGATGCATGTATTACAGGCAGAGGTGGAATGTAAATAATTGATTTTACTCAAGTCCTATTCTAAATCTGAAGCATTTACTTGAGTAGGGTGAATTAAGCTTTCTTGCCATCAGTAAAAATAATTCAATAAATGATACAATTCTGTACTACTGAAGATGTCACCTATGAGAGTTATATCATATTTCAAGGAGGCATGACATGCCCTTTTGAGTAAACTGACCTTATACCTCTTTTTTTTTTTTTTTTTGGTAATATTTTTAATATTTGGCTAGTCCAGCTATAGCAAAAATGACCTGCTGCAAAAAGCACCTAGAAAAATCCAGGTAGTCCATAAATATTTTTATGGTTGATTACTGTTTTGCACACGTAAAGAGGTTGGGAGACACTAATCTAGAGCATACAGAGCCTACACGGTGGTTCTCTATTGTAAGGATGATCATTTATTTTAAAGAAAAACCTTTTAGGTCTGTCCCATCACGTAATATGATGCTGTCCCAATCAGTATCAGTAGCAGAAGCATGTTTGGGTGATTGGGACAAAATAAAAACAGCTTAATTCCAAAAATGGACACAAGATATGACCACTTTTCTACTGACTTTAAAGCAGTAGTTCATCATAATCATATTTCCATCTAAGGTTTGTACAATATATTAGCTATGACAGTTTTATGACCTTATGATTAAAACTAGCTAAAGCTCATGTCATTTTCTTTGCCTCATTCATTTCAAGGTCAGCTTCCTGTTTGAAACCTGCCCCACCCACCTATGTGATGTACACCTAATGACGGTATGCAATTTTGTATATGGGGTTTTACAGCTATGGCTAAGCAAATAAGTTTTTTTTCCCATTCATCAGGTGTGGAAAAAAAACCTGTGTCGTTATACTGTGGCATTTGACCTTAAGTCCCAATCACCCTTAATTCAACCTACTTCCATTTCAATATTATACTTCTACTTCACCACAGTTGAGAGTATAATGTCATTTACAGTTACTTTAAAGGGGGAGTAAGCCCATTTTCAAAGTTAATATATGTTATTTCTATGGTCAAAGACAGTACAAAAACCTTGGTAAACATGAACAACTCTTTCCCAAATCCTAAATCTAGATTTCTAAAACTCAAATGTATCATGATGTCATGTAAAAAGTCTGGAGCTGCCCTATAGACACTGTATTGGAAAATATATTATAAATGACACAGAGTGCAGCAGGAGGAATGTTCTAGGTATATGGGCAGGGCCGGCTCGATACCTTTGGAGGCCCTAAGTGGATCTGGGGGGCCCCCTCATTGTCACAATGTTACCCTTCACATAGCACACACATAATGCACAAATGAGCATGTAAAGACGAAAGTGGGACCTATTAGTAGCAAATTAGAATACAGTAACTACTGTATTGGTCCATGATCCCCTGACCTAATAAATGGTCACTCTCCGGGCCTTTTGCTTGACCTGGTTCTGGCTCTGTATATGGGTACATTTTCTGTTTCAGAGCTGAGAACACAACAATAAAATAAAGCTCATTTGGGTATAAATAAGAAAACAAACTAACAAAATCATACCTGATGACATAGCAACTTTAGGACTTACTTCTCTGGTTTCTGGCTTTGAGAGAAAGTTGCTCATGTTCACTAACATTGATTTAACTTTCCTAGGCCGTGGAAATAACATCCTCGAGTTCCTAATTTAGGTGGTGTTCTGCTTTATAAACTAAGAATTTCCCATTATTCATTCCAAAGTCTTCCTTTATAGCTCTGGATAAAATGATTTTAAATTTTGTTTGGAAAAATTAAAGGGCAAGAGTAAGTTATAAAAGGCTACAAAGTTCTAAAAAGGATGGGGGCTTAAATTTACCAGACTTGCAAAAATATTATTGGGCAACACATCTCAAAACAATAATGTCATGGATAACAGAAGACACAGATACATTATGGGTGGAAATGGAACAGAACTCTTGCCCAGTACCACTAGGCTACTTACCATTTATGATTTCGAAAGAATGGAAAAAACTGGGCTCAGAAAACATGAAAAATATGGTCTAAAATAAGGAACAAGCTGGGAGTTTCAAACTCAGTATCAAGAGTTACCAAAATTGCAGTAAATCCAGATTTTCACCCATCTAAAACAGACAATGGATTTAAGAAATGGATGAACAAGGGGCTGGTGTACATTGATCAACTTTTTGATGGACAACAAGTATTAAAATCATTTCAACAACTCATTCAAGAATTTAATTTACAAGTTGAAGACCATTACAGATTCCTACAAATTAGACACTATCTTAATAAAAACAAAGAATGGGAAAGTATATTAAAGGAACCCTCTAAGACAGAACAGTTCTTGATAAAATGTGAAGGAGAAAGAATGAAGAAAGGAATTATCTCAAGGTTTTACAGAGCTTTGCAACAAGATCTTAAAAACAAAGATTTATAGAATAAAAGAAAGTGGGAAATTGAACTGAACATACTAATTAGTGAAAATGAATGGGATGAAACTTGTTTGTCTGGTCACAAATTAACAAATAGTCCAAATTGGAGGGAATTTGACTGGAAGATTAAAAACAGGTATTTCAGAACTCCAATTATAACAGCAAAATATGGCGTTTCATCAGCACTATGCTGGAGGGGTTGTGGCCACCAAGGGGACCTGTCCAAAATTGCAGGAGTACTGGGACGATGTTAAAAGGATAATAGAGCAAATTTTGGATATAAAAATAAAACTTGACCCAAAGTTATTTATTTTGTGCATTCCTTCAGGACTCCAAATGGGGAAAAAGAAAACATATTTACTGAGGACCCTGCTTTTAATAGCCAAAAAAACTATTACGGTATTATGGTTGCAGCCACAACCCCCCAACATAAAACAATGGCAACAAAAGGTGAATGAGGTATACAGTACAGGCCAAAAGTTTGGACACACCTTCTCATTCAATGCGTTTTCTTTATTTTCATGACTATTTACATTGTAGATTCTCACTGAAGGCATCAAAACTATGAATGAACACATGTGCAGTTATGTACTTAACAAAAAAAGGTGAAATAACTGAAAACATGTTTTATATTCTAGTTTCTTCAAAATAGCCACCCTTTGCTCTGATTACTGTTTTGCACACTCTTGGCATTCTCTCTATGAGCTTCAAGAGGTAGTCACCTGAAATGGTTTCCACTTCACAGGTGTGCCTTATCAGGGTTAATTAGTGGAATTTCTTGCTTTATCAATGGGGTTGGGACCATCAGTTGTGTTGTGCAGAAGTCAGGTTAATACACAGCCGACAGCCCTATTGGACAACTGTTAAAATTCATATTATGGCAAGAACCAATCAGCTAACTAAAGAAAAACGAGTGGCCATCATTACTTTAAGAAATGAAGGTCAGTCAGTCCGGAAAATTGCAAAAACTTTAAATGTGTCCCCAAGTGGAGTCGCAAAAACCATCAAGCGCTACAACGAAACTGGCACACATGAGGACCGACCCAGGAAAGGAAGACCAAGAGTCACCTCTGCTTCTGAGGATAAGTTCATCCGAGTCACCAGCCTCAGAAATCGCAAGTTAACAGCAGCTCAGATCAGAGACCAGATGAATGC